CAATATTGCCTAGAAAAAGTCATAATAACAATATAATATGTTTTCATCATTATATCAATACAAGAACAATTAGAAGCAAATATGAGAGAATGATATTGTAATAACTTTACCTGCCTTTAATGACCTCTCAGATACAGATGTCTTAAACCACATCTATCCACACAGGCATCTCTGTAATTGTGATTATTTGTCAATTTAAAATCTATTTCCTGGCGCCTATGTCTGTATTGACTCCTGTCATCTCACATTTGCCTCCACCTGTGTGTGTGTGTGTGTGTGTGTGTGTGTGTGTGTGTGTGTGTGTGTGTGTGTGTGTTGGACGTCCCCAGGCTACAGCAGTGGGAGGAGAGCAGGAGGCTTCAGAAGCATTACGCAGTGCAACATCATTCACATGCATGGGATCTAGATATGCACTCTTAACACAAACCCATGCTCGCACGTGTGCTCTTAGAGGGTTAATCGCTGAGCCGTGGGCAGGGGGAGATCAGGACACAGGGGAAGACATCAAGAGACCGAAGAGAAGAGAAATGATCAGGGAGGAAAGAAATGTCGATATGGAACAAAAAAAAAAAGAAGGGTTTTGAAGATCTGTTTTCCTGACTTGTCTCTCCTGGAGGTAATACACGGTAAAAACATGTCTGCGTGATACAGCGTTACACTTTCACACAGAGTTAGCACCTAGCTCGTGTTCAAAGTGCAGCTTTCAGGAGGCGACCAAAAACGAGCTAAAAGACAGTGAACCAGTAGAGTACATAAATATAATATAATAATAATCTGTATTTATGAAGCACTTATCTAAACATGGTTACAAAGTGCTTCACAATTCAAAGCAATCAGATAAACTCAGCATGAAGTCTGTCCGTCCACTTCTTCTTTAGGTACCCAGGGTTAGCCTGCAGGCTACAGCTGCTCACCTGCAGTACCTTAGCTAAGCTAGTGGGTTACGTGTCGTCGGTCCGTCAACCACTAGCAGAAGAAATTCATAAACTGCTACTATGTTCCACTCAATCATTTCCAGGACGTGAAGCAGTCAGCGCTCATTATTTCCCTGGGATCCCACAGTAATTGGGTTTTCCCTTAAAGCAGGTTCACACACACACACAACCTTGGACCAACACCTTATCATGGATCAGGAAACTGACACAACTTATGATCCCAGTGTAAAACAGACTGCTCCAGTTGCTTGTGACAAAGTCTGCTTCCAGCCCAATCATGACACAGCTCATATGTCATCATGGCACCATACTGCGCTGAACAATGCAGAAGTCAAGCTATGTTTTGGATATTTTATGGTAAGTCGGTCTTGTGATTTCATGCAACTCATCCTGACTGAGACGCTCAATCCATTCTGCACAATATGTATCTGTACATATACATGTGAAGGATGATTTGCTAATCCGCCACTGGAGGGACAGCAGAGCGTCGCCTCGCTCATCTGAGGAGTCCACTTGGCATCTTTATTGCATCGTGTTCTTTATCTGCTCACAGCAGAGCCAATGGCCCTGCAGCCCTGGAGAAGCTGCTATGGAGGTCAAACACTGGATTGGGATGACATCTGCTGGTGGGAGGGACAACATCTCCGTACACCAATAAGCCTCAACCGAAGTGATATCACTGCCTCTCGTCTCCAATTTCACTGGCTTGTTCTGTGTTAAATGGAAACACTGGGCCCCAGGCCTTGGATTAAATGGGCTTAATGATGAATAGAGGTATGGATACGCCTCCAGATTGTAATGGGGTGGGGTAGACATCTGACTGGAGGGCTTTCAGTGCTACACCCCCCGTTTACAGTCAGGAAAAGAGAGGGGAGAAGATCAGCATCTTCTTTCAGGGTAAATTTCCAAATTAATAAAGGCTTCACAGTGCAGGGCAAAATATAGTAACAGGAATAACTGAAGATAACCTAATCTAATATAAACCCACTGTATCTTAGCAACCTTGTTAATTCTGAGAGGAGCAGTGGGGTAAGCAACAGAAGCACAGCATCCATCATCACACACACACACACACGAATGGACACACACACACACACACACACCAGCTACTCACAAACTCAGCCCACAACACCATGCTCATGCTATCTTACCATTAGCCACTATCTCAATCACACTGTGTTGCTGATGAATGCGTACACATGTGCAGAGCTCCATGCTCGGGCGCATACACACAGATCCTCGGGCTTACTGTAAGCAGCCGGGAGAATGGAGGGGGTGTGGAGCGGAACAATGGGATCCTAATCGTCGGGCTGCATTTCAAAGCATCTCCCCTCTACAACACTTTTCTAGATAAGATTTGAAAATGCTATTTATATCCAACGGGGAAAGGAGCCAACCAGCAGCTTGATTTTCATTTATTTGAAGTCAGATCTAAATTGGGGATGAAGTTACATAATGCAACGATTGCGACACTCCACCTGCTATAGCGCCGAGGCAGCCGCTGAAGACCGCTACGAAGGGATCGGCCCCCCTCCAAAAAAATAGCACTTGGCCCACGCTTATACTGCAGCTAATAATTACTCTATCGGCTTAATAACCATTGCTTAATACACCAGCGGAACCCGGCTCATCCGTGTGGGTACAGCAGTGGGCCGATCCACATCTTAAATCCAAGCCTACTCCAGCGTAGCCAGGCCAAAATCCGGTAACCACGCTGAGCCAAGGACAAAACAACAGAGCACAACATGGCCCGGTCCCCCCCCACCCCCACCCACGCACCAGATGTGCAGAGAAAGATAGACAGAGAGGGAGAGGCAGCTTCATTCTTCACAGCTGTGTCCCAGGCGAGAAGGGCCCATCCCTGGGTCCCAGCTCCTCCAACTCTTCCCCCCTCCCTGGAGAGGAGGGCCAGCCCCATCCCAGGCCGGGTGAAGGAGGAGAGATGGTAGGATGGACATGTGGAGTTGAGGGAGGGCGAGCTGGAGCCTCACAGGATTAGGAGAGCAATTCACACTGGATGAGAGGAGGAGCGGAAAAGAGAGGAGAGGAGAGAGGGGAGCACGGTGGGAATACTCTGAAAGCAAAGAGGGAGGGCAGAGAAAAGAGAGGAGGAAAGGAGGGAGAGTGGTGAGGTAAAATGGGAAGATGGGGAAACGATTGTTGAACTGGTGAAATGTTGCTCGTTTGTCACTTGCAAAATGTGTGTCCATCTCTCACAAGCACTTAACACCACTTTTCACACCACAGATGTTTTCATGATTAATGTGCGTATGCTTATTGTTTCATGCTTCTTTATTGTTACGCAAATATCAGGAAAAGGTGTCAGGGTGTTGTTAAAATGCTTGAAACACATAAATACAAGACACTATATTTACAGAGCACATGAGCACACTGAAGTTGGAACGGCTTCAAAACTCGGGACCTTCGGAGGAGCACGTGAATACACTGTATGGTTCTGCATGAGGGTGTGTCATAATTTGTTTGTATGACTTGTGCTTAAACAACAATCATTTTGATAAAGTCACTTAAAAAGCAAAACTGCCACACACCACCATTTCTAGAGAAGGTTCACTGAGCGTATATGCTCTGTTTCAGGAATACCCAGTTCTCACACACACACACACACACACAAACACACAGTTACCCACATTTGCACCTGGACACGGCCCATAACAACCATAATCTAGTCTTCTGGGTACTGAGCAGGTGCCGGAGCAGTTTGGATCGGTGCTTTTCTCAGTTTTATACAATTACAAATGGAATATCTTTTGGCCTTGGCCCGCTGATTGCTCAAAACAAGAAATTCAAGGCATCACCTTGGGCTCTGGGCACTGGTTTTGACACAAGTGATTAATTGAAAAAGTAGTTTATGAGTAAATTGATTCTTAGTTGGAGTCCCACATGTGCCGTAAGTCGTGGAAAGCGGGAGAAAAGATTGTGCTGACCCAGAGTGTTCTCTGGAGCTCCAGAGGCCCAGCTCTCACCGTCACTTTCCACTGGAATAAATAAAACATGAGAGCCTGAACTCCAATAGCAGCATACACTTACAGTAGTCAGCAGCCTGGCATGGGAACAACCAACGATACACGCATACACTGCCATCGACAAACAGATCCACCCACAATCAAAATAGCAATCACCCAAACAATGATATAGTTTTCCTGCTCCAGATGCAACCTCATCTTCTCTTCCAAAATCCAAAAACTATCCACCGTCTCCTTTTCGTGATCCACCCCAGCCGGCTTATTTTCTCAGTCACTCTGCATAGCACTCACCTGAACCTCTCTCTATCTTCCAAATATCAGTGGAAAAGCCTGAGACTGCAGCACCCATACCGCCTGCAGCTCTCCACAAAGGCCTCACGTATTGATGTTTTATTAACGCCGCCATAAATATTGAAAAGACACTTACTAATGAAGCCACGGAGAGAACTTCCAGAGACAATTTACAGAACCGGGGGAGTACAGGGACCTTGAATATTGCACCCTGCACCCGTCTTTCTACTTTACTTCTCTACTCACTATCTCATTTCCCACGCCATGACCGGAACGTCCCCGCAGCTACAACACCAGCCCTACACACACACACACACTACCCCCTCAACACCTCCTCCCTTCCTCGTCTTCCCCCCTTCACTGTTTTCTTGTTCAATGAAATCAATGGATTGGAGAGGCTTGACGATCCGCCACACCCCTTGCGAATATTAATCATAAATCACAGGCTCCGAGTATAATGAGGCTTGTTTCTAATGACAACGGCTGTGATGAATGTGTCTGTGGCTCAGCGTGGCATTATCATATAGCCATTCAGGGGTGTGTGTGTGTGTGTGCATGCCGTTTGTGGAGGTTCGGGACGGATGTGTGGCAGTGGCGGCGGCGGGTGGATGAGGTATCGCAGCTTTTCCCCCCACGTAGGGTGACATTTCGATGGCAGAGGGCCCACGGCGAGCCAGCTCTCCGTGGCATTTCCAACAGCTGTTTACACACACGTGCACGCTAACTGAATGTGCGCTGTGTGTTTTCTGAGCACATGAGACTGTTTTAGTAGCGCATGTGCAGCCATTCATCAAGTGTAGTTTACTGTAAAAGACATCGATGCCACGTATGCATGAGAGCAAGAAACATAAACCATTTGACTAACCCTCACTAACGCCCTATCTCGCCATGTTAAAGACGGAGAAACATGGACCACCCCTCCGAAAAAATTCATGGAGATTGGTTCCGTGCTTTTTGCATAATACTGCAAACAAAAATATTTGGCAGAAAAAATGTCTGTTAAAATACACAACATTTCAATGGCAAAAAGTCTTTTGTTTGTGGAGTCGTGGATCATCACATAGCAGGTGACCGTAGAATTTTCATTGGTGAAATTCTCTTCACCTTCACTGCAGTGAAGTTAGATGACTACATTTCATTAAATGTACAGGAAAATATGTTTTTGTGTAATTCAACCCTTTACTCTTGACTGGGTTATGTTAGTTAATATCATTACAGACTGACAGTAGAACATATAAACATATTACTTCACACCTGACTGGCACATTCTTTTCCCTTTTCCCCAACTTAGCAGTGTTTCTGTGTGTTATCTCCGGCTGCTCCATTAGTGAGCCAGGTCTCGTTAGAAGCCAAAATGAGCTGGAGAGCAGCTCTATTGATTTCAATAGAAATGTGCTTACACTTGCATCAATATAGCTGCATCTTTCT